AAATATCTGTTACGTTTCACGATGATCACCCAACAATATATTCATATTTCTTTCAGAAAATGTGAGCATAACGGTCAGTCCCTGCTATGGCATTTCACAGCAAACGGTGATCTTGAATATGAGGTGGTTCGATTTGATCAAGATCATACAGAAACGATATTGTGGCCAAAAATCACAATGACCACATTGAAATCGCCCGAGCAGGGCGCGATTTCGTGTGAGTGCGGTGAATATCGAATACGCTTCATAAATCCAGCAAACAGTTGGCTGCCACTGAAGGTGCATTATATTGCTGAGATGAGTCAATGACACACTTACAACTTTTTGCTCTATTGTATGGTAATCGATGCTCATGAATGCATATGCGGCTGCAAAACAACGCGATTTTGTGTGTATAATTTTCGTGCGTGCTTGATTATAAAGAACTAACTTTTCAGTGAGTACAACAGAAATACTTTGCGTACAATATAATTGCTGATCAAATAGATTGCGAGGTGTTCAGAAACGACAATTTTTTAATTTCAATATATATTTGCGTATATTATTACGCAAAAAAGCAATAACAATAACAAAATCATTAACAAGAGAATGTGTTCTATGGAACAACACAAGCATAAAATGACCAACCACAGAACAAGTAACAATCTGCAAAACAAAGCAAACAATTCGTCAGTACTCAAGTGCAACTGCACTGAGAACTTACTNCAAGTAACAATCTGCAAAACAAAGCAAACAATTCGTCAGTACTCAAGTGCAACTGCACTGAGAACTTACTACTCCTTGACTGGCACACACTCTCCGCATTATTTGTATTATCAGAACGGTTTGGCGTTTCCTTTCAAGTTGTGTTTTTTGCTCTTCCGTTCTATATAACTGTCCAATTTATGCGTTTTCTTTAACTCTTCAAATTTCTTCTCCATCATTCGCATTTTAAGTTCACCTGGAAATGGAAATGTTATTCATTATTATATTTATGAAAACACTGCGTAAGATACGAAGATTCAAGATAAGGTGGGCATTATTTGAATGTGAAGCAAGCGATTTTGTTTCAAATTCCATTTGTATCACTGAACATCACAATAATCTTTTAAACTTCACCGTTTTAGCAACGGCTATAACAACTATCAAAGATCATAACTGATGATTTCATCAGATCAAGAGAGCCGCGTTTTAAGGACTTAATAGTTCAATGTTTGATAATAATGTTCAGATTAATGGTACCTTTGGTAAGATAAATGGGCCTCTTTCCTTGTCGCATACGTTCATTGTTTTCTCGTCTCAACTCTCTTATCACCTCTTTATTGCGTTCCTTTTCAGCTATCGATCTGAATACCAATGTTGCGAATGGTTAAGTTTTTAAACATAAAATCAGATATCACCTTCAACTGATAACTACTATTCATAAGATTCAAAGACAAATTTCGTGAACAATAAGCACAAGTAACGAAGCATACTTGTCGTGATTCTTCATACGCCTCAAAACTTCTTTCATTTTTTCCGCTGATTCGGGATCCGTTTGTTTGGTTTTCTTTATCTCCTTTGCTAATATCTGCAAATTTATCACACTTAAATTTTTTTTTCGAATCAAGCAATCCATAAGAGCCAATTACTTCAAAAGTTTCTCTATCAGAAAGCACAGAAAGGAATAAAAATGCTTTGCTGACGAAACATTCGCTGACCTTCTCTTCCTTTTGCCTCATTCCGTCCAAAAATTCATAATTTTTACGATAGATATACTCATCATACGGTCCGGAACGTTCATCGAAACGTGGATCAAATTTCTCTCTGCCAATTTTTTCATTCGCGAATACGTTTCGATACTTCGAAACCG